AAGGCTGTAAATTTCCTCTGATCACCACTTTAGTTGCATCTTAGATGTTTTATATACTATCTTTATCATTTCATTTCAAAACAATTTTAGCTTCCATTGTGATTTCTTCTTTGACCTATGGGTTATTTAGAAGTCTTTTTCATTTCCAACATATGGACATTTTCTAGTTAGCTTTTCATTAATAGTGTCGAGTTTAATTTGGGCTTGGTTAAAGAACGTTCTCAGTATGATCTCAGTCTCTTGAAATACAATGAGCTTTTTTTTCGATCCCTTTGTAATATTCTCTTTGCTTAAAAAATGAAGTTGTCACATATAGGATCCTATATATGTCCACTGGGTCAAGTATTTATCGTATTCAGGTCATCTGTATCTTTTTGTTGCTTGTACTATCAGTTCACTAAGAGATATATATTAAAGTCTCCTATAGTGATTATTGATTTGTTTCTTTTTATAATTCAGTTTTGGTTTAAATATCTTGAGACTGTGATAATAGATGCACATAAATAAAAATTTTTCTGATAAATCACTGCTTTATCTCTAATAATGCTTCTTGTCCTCTACTTTGTCATCTTTGTTTGGTTTTAATACACCTACATCAGCTTTCTTCTGGTTAGTATTTGCCATATATCCTTATCTCTCAACCTTTCCATATCCCTGTATTTAAGGTGTGTCTCTTGTAAGCAGAATATAGTTGAGTGTTGTTGCTTTTTTAATCCTAACAATCTTCATCTTTTAATTTAACTATAGTCCATTTACTTACACTTTTGTGTTCTGCTCTCTGTCCTATGTTCATTTCTTCTCATCCTCTTTTTTACTGTTTTTCCCCCCTAGTAGCTTGGTAGATTTTTGCACTTTATTCTTTTAGTGGCTACTCTAGAGATTTCTACACGCATCCTTTCTTATAAGTGGGATGTCATTTGGCACTTTACTTTCGCCTCAGACGATGGAAGAACTGTAGAGCACTCTATAATTCTCTTGTATAACTTCTGTTTGTCCCACTTTTTTTCATCATAAGATGAGATAAATCATGCTCAGTGGTATAGAATAATAAGAGTCTCTGTGCAAGACATTAATTAGAACTGTTTGTAGTCGGTTACATTAGAAGCTAGACTTTTGGAGGAATGTTCAATGGAATGCTCACCCTGTCACTTATTTGGCATTATCCCCACATGCACGGTGTTCACAGTGGCAACACTGACCAGAGGAGAGCACCTCTGACTATAGCCGGGGACTGAGTTTGAACAGCCACTGGTAGCTTATTCTTAGATGCTGGCAGAGCCTTTTAAGTTTGGTCACATGCCTGTGACATAAGCTGCCTGCATAATTATTCTGTGTCAATGACTCTAATTTGTAGAGTACATACTTGTGTATTAACACATCCCATGTATGATTTGCTTTAATTTCCATTACATTTTCTCCTCATCACATTTGATATTTGGAAAATTGTCCAAAAAAATATCCTTTTTCCAGTGACATTTTTGGTCAGTCTTACTTGAATCCATATAGTGTAACTTCAGGCCAGCAGTAGGTTGGCTTCCACCTGTCATTTTATGGTCCGAGTCTACCTGAAGTGACATGGAGGAAGTGGTACGTGACTCAGGCAGTGCTCCGTGCTCTCTCGAAATAATACATGGGTTCCGATTGTCACGATCAAATAGAAATGAAAAAGAATGTTTATGCCTGCCCGTTCAGCACCTGTGCTGTGCTGCTCAGGTCCCTTAGTAGTCTCTGTTTGGTTCCTCTAAATTTGTACTCTGAATTGATGAAGAATTATCTAGTTGAAGATATATTAATCGTCCAATGACTAATCTGCATTTCAAATGAAAACGATGCGTTCATACCAATAATACTCTTTAAATTTTTGTTATTTAACTTTTCATTCTAAGTCCATACTGCCCATTGGCTGAATGTAAACCTTTATACAGCACTATCTAAAATGTTAGACGTATTTGTTCATGGTTCCTAACACTAGCTATTATTTGTATGAATTTTACGAAATACTGATAGTAGACATTGACTTTTAATTATGTCAAGTTCATGATTTTAAAATAGGTATATATTTAAATTCCTTTAATATTGCCATTTAAGAATATAATTTATTCAGGCTGAGTCACATTACTATACTTACTATTAGTTTCTCCCCAAAATGTCAACTCAAAACCTAAAAGGAGAAAAAGGCTATAGTTGGTCCCGTACCTACGGCGCTTGGTTTCTGGGATCGAGACGCTGCTCCCCGCCTGGGTGTGCGTTTAGTTCTGCTCCATTAGACTCTGGGCTGTGCTTTCTCAACTCCACCCTCTTTATAAAAAAAAATTTTTTTTCTCAAATATAATTTATGGAAAAAATTGTATGGCTAAGAGTAAACATGCATGATACCACGTTTTAGACAAACTAACACTTGCTATGCTTAAGAGTAAACTTCTGTATATTGAACATAAAGGCCGTTTTCATTTTCTGGTTCAAGATACACTTTTGGCAGCTCGCATGCACAGAAATGATGTTTTTTCATCCTTTTCATGACCGCGGCGGACTCAGAGACGGCTGCTGCGAGGTTGGCATTTAAAGTGCAGGGACTGCAAGGGCCAGGAATAACGAGGATAAGTCAGGTGTCCACACCGCCGCAGAGTGAATGGGCCTTTCACGGGCCTTTCCGCCCGAGCTGCCTGGGGGAGACCGCGGGAGGAGGGGCAAGAGGCACGGCAGGGGCGTGGGGTGCGGAGGGGACTGGGGCGCCCCAGCCCAGAGCGCCAAGGTCAGCAGTGTCCCCACGAGCACATGCTTTTGTTTTGACAACACACTTCCAAGAGAGCTGCGTTAAATAAGGTTGTAGAAATAAAGTTCATGACAGCATAAAAAAAAAAAAAATGTGAATGCCTTGATTCTAGCTTGAATCACTCTGATTTCAGCAAAATTACTTTTAAACTTTTTTTTAAAGTAGATACGATTTGCCAAGAATAAAGGGCTTGATTTTCACATGAACAAAGTTGGCTTTTTTGTTGTTTTTCATCTCAAACCAGGAGTTATGTATGGGTTGAAAAGAGATATGAAAGTCACTTAGATTATTTCAGTATCTGAAATGATTGACATAAAGTGACATTAATATAATTTTATTCTCGGTCGTGCAAGGACTTCCTTTGTGAAGAACTCTGTTTCATGTTGAGCTTCAGGAGAACTTAATTATGGGATAAATGACGTCATCGTCATTCAGGATGCGGAGCAGGCCTTTCGATAATTCGGCGGGGTGCAGCCGTGGGTGCTGGGAATGTGTCTGACCACTTTCGTATTTACCCTGCAGGCTGTTCTGTTAGAGGTTCCTAGGATCGCACGATGTTTAGGGCCTTACCGGTTATGCACCTACAGCCTTCCAGGAGAGTCTCCACCCCTGCCACCCGCCATGGTATTTTAAACAGCACTGTGTGTGGTGGGCTTCAGGCTGAGGAGTTTGTTGACCTGGGACACCGTGGGGGAGGGGTCAGAGGGAGCAACATATTACGTTTGCATGTGGAAAGATCCAGAAGAGAACAAGCTAGGAGTCAAGAGAAATGCTAAGAGCTTAGGACGGGTGGTGGGGCCCCTAAGAGGTCCAGCTGGCAGGTTTCGGTGTGTGGGGGGCGTCAGACTGGGGAGACTCTTCCTCTCCCTCTAGTGGCGCAGATTACTGGGTGAACACGGACTCCACGTGTCCCTCCCACGTGCCTTCTGTCCTGGGCAGGGGAGGGCTGGCCCATCTGCCACCCAAGGAAGCAGGGTGAGTAAGAGGCATGGTTTCACCCGAGAAGCGGCCCAAGTGGTGACACCACACGCACAAGGGAGTGAGTCTTTGTCGTAGGGTATGACAGGTGTGACTGGCTGCTGGGATTAGAGAATAGGGGATGAGTTCACTTTGAGGTATGTTGAGTACGAGATGCCTGTTAGGACACCCAGGTGGACCTGTTCGGGAAGGAGTTGAATTTCTGAGTCTGCAGATGAGGGGAAAGACTGGGCCGGCCATTCGAACGTCAGATGTCTTAAAGTGTTTTGAGAGCAGGGCACAGCAGAGTCCTTCGGACAGAGATGGCAGCGGAAGTCACGGTTCAGGTGGCGCTCTTTCTCTCGTTCCCGTAGTCTGCCACAGTTGTAACTTCAGTTTTCCCTCATCTGCAGCCTCGTTTCACCCAGAGAATTCCTGTTATCTGTCCACTGCACTGTGGGATGGTCAGTGCAGCCCACCTTGTTGTTGTTTGGTGTCTGGTCTAGTGCTGGTTCCCAAGGATGCTTGGTTCTCCCAGTTTAGAGGTGTCAGACCTGGTTGGTAGATGAGTTGGCAGAGAGGCTCTTATTCCCCTTTATCAGAGTTTAGTAGTGGAGATTTGCACACTGCCACGAACTGCAAGAGGTGTGCTTGCAAATCAAGTGGTCGTCTTGCTGCTTTTTGGAGTTAGTCTCCTTTGTCCTGGAACATTCTCTTCTGTCATGTGACTGCAGATGTTTCCAAGAATCGGAGTAGTCCCAGGAGATAGGAGGCAGAGCACTGTCCCTGCCATGGTTTCCCCTGGCGTTAATACTTTCCAGAATGACACGAGAACTAATGCGAGAAAAAGAAAATAACCTTTATCTTCCATGCCTGACAGATAATCAGATTACTCTGGGGATTAGGTAAAAATAAGTCGTTTATTCCTACAGTTACCATAATGACCAAGAGAATCTTATGTAAGAAAATTTTAAAAATTAAACTAGATAAATGAGATCTACCATATGGAATGAGTAAATATAGAAAGAACAATGAGTTTTAAGACAAAGTTGGCTTTTTTTTGACGAACAACGTGGTAGAGTAAGTTCGCTGCATCTCTCCGAAGCCCACCAGCCATGGGGACGTGTCGGTGTTGCTGACTGTTGGGGGCCTGGCACTTGCAGGCTCCCAAGGCAGCAGTGGACCGTGCTTCGCTGGTTCCCATTTCTTCATCTCATCACAAAAACCACGCAGTGGCTTTTCCCCCTAACGTTCCTGGTTTTATTCACAGGCCATGTTCTCATAGAGATTTCAAGTACCCACAAGAAACTCGACGAGAGTCTTAAAGAAAACGTATGTGAACTCTTTTTATATTTACAAAATGTTTATTTTTAACTTTTATTTTGTTTAAAGTCTCAAATCTGGTATGAATTTTTTATCTCCTTTTAACAGTTCAAAACATTCCATAAAGAGATTATCCATGAGCTGGAGAAGAAGACCGAACTTGACGTCAAATACATGAACGTGAGTGCACGGTTCTGCTCCAGCTCTAAGGAGAGGTGGGCGAGGGGCACGGGGCTGGCTCTCAGGGGGCTGCGCTGGCCCGTCTCTGAGCCCAAGGAGAACTCCCACTGTTTAGTGGGCGGCGTCAGATGAGGATGGAGCCAGGGGTTTGGTACGTACATGAATGCATAAGACCGACAAGTTTCCTTTGGGCCGAGTGGATTCGTTTTTGCTAAAACTGAGATTTTATTAAAGCATAGAGAAAATATTGCAAGGAATCTTACTGCTCTGGAAAGCATCGTTTTCAGGAGCACACACATGTTGATGTCGTCTGCATCTGTGTTAGAGCATCTGTTGCTTTCGCAGACCAGCACTCTGGGACGCAAGCTGTACAGGGAGAACACCATTTGGGGTTCCCAGGTGTGACCGGCAGACACGGCCTCTGTGTGGCTCCTGTTGCCAGTCACCGGTGTTGTCGATTCCAGCAGTTTTCTCTTGCCTGGCCCTCCAGCCAGACGGCTCTCTCCATCTCCCGTCTGCCGTGGAGTAGCTGTTTGCTTTCCCAGCCAAAGTCCCGTCTTCTCAGCAAGACCCGCACGTGGCCGTAAGCGGTGCACCTGCGTGCACGTGCTCTGTGCGCCTCGGAGGGCTGCGGGGCCACCCATGACTTCTCAGGGGTGTAATGCCAAGTACTTTCCACACACCGTCTGATTTCTATCCCTACAGAAATTCTATAATGTGGGCACTCTTATTATGCTCACTGTACAGCTTAGAGGGGAAAGATGGATTTCAGGGAAACTAAGTAATTGCTGAGATACATAGGAAATGTGGGGAAAAGCCAGAATTAACCCAGGTCAGTTAGGCTCTGAGAAACCCTGCTACACAGCACCCAAGCAACTGGAAGAGGTTGCGTCCTTCATTCTCTTTCCTGAGGTCATAAGTCATAAAACAGGAGTATGGGATTTAATATTGGTTATTTATTCACCAAAGCACTTACCACCCAGTGTCCAAAAACCTTTCGGGAAAGAAAGAACAAGAGAAAGAAAAGATACTGCTGCCCTCCGAGAGCTTCCCTTCCAGTCCAGGGCCTCTCACAGACAAGGGACTTGGGGCAGACAAAGCAATGTGCGGTGTGGGCACGCAGGGCCACAGCGGGGGAGGCAGTGTGCGGCGTGGGCCTCGGCCAGCCGCACCCGGTGGAGATGTTAGCAGAATAACTGCCTGAGCGTCTGCAGGTGCTGCAGTAAAGTATGTGCAACTCTTAACTTACAGGCTACTCTTAAAAGATACCAAACAGAACATAAGAATAAATTAGATTCTTTGGAGAAATCTCAAGCTGAATTGAAGAAAATCAGAAGGAAAAGTCAAGGAGGACGAAATGCACTTAAATATGAACACAAAGAATTTGAGGTGAGTGCTTCGCACTACTTGATTTTGTTGGTAATCAGTTTACAGGGAAGCTTGCTTACCGCATTCAGTCTGTACTTTATCCACGGACTCATGTCGCTCTTGAAGTTAAAAACAGCATTTGGACTTGTATCAGCTGAAGGCTATGGAGTTTCCCGAGGTAAGAGTGATTAGTTGCCTCCTAAAAACGCTGACATTTTCTCCTCGCTCCAGGAGGTAAGGGACTCTCCATGAGCAGCATTACTGTCCCCATTTTACAGATGGGAAAAGTGAGGCTTAGGTTAAGTCATGTGCTAACACTTGGAACTGGGGTTTAAACTTGAACTTTCTGGTTCCAAAGCCCATGATTTTTCAGTAGGGCGAGATCTTATATCTAGAGTACCAAGTAATATTTTGTGTAAATTGCCCAATGGAATGTAAGGCCTTTGGCAACTTCTCTTCACTCATGAGTCAGGGATCTTAATGACGATGTTTATCTGCTCAGGTCAGGTTACAACTTTGTTACTTTGTCTAATGTTTATCTGCCTTTAGTAGTTACTCCATTATCAAAATAAACCAAGTAAAGATGGTAAAAGATAGGTGTCAGGCTATGTCGGTACTGTTACACTTGTCTAATTATTATTTATTTTCCTAGTATGTGGAAACTGTTACTTCTCGCCAGAGTGAAATCCAGAAATTCATCGCAGATGGTTGCAGAGAAGCTCTACTTGAAGAAAAAAGGCGCTTCTGCTTTCTGGTTGACAAACACTGTAGCTTTGCAAATCACATCCATTACTATCACGTACAGGTGTGTGTGATGGCAAGTTGTGTTGCATGCATTAATCTTATGTCATATCTAAATGCCCTCGAAATGCTTCACCTTCTGTATGTGCCCCCATATAAAGCAATGGGCCTATTTTGCCAATGAGAAGATTTCAAAGAAATAGTTTTGGGCCAACTTGAATATGTAAACTTTTAGAATAGATGAAATAGTCAAATGTCAGCTTATAACATTAGTTCAGTAATAAACCCAGATTTAAAATCTTTTATAAAATCGTGTTTAATAATTGAGAAATGGCATTTTTTTTCTTTTCCCACCTGTGAGTCAACTTTTCTCAGATTCTAAGTGACTCATCTTCGGCATCAGTGTCTTCACAAAACCCGCGGGCGAGTCTCAGCAGGCCCCAGGCTGCCCCACCTGGATGGTCTGAGATGCTCACCTTGGGGGTCCACGCGTATGGTGTCGGTGGAAATTTTACCCAGGCCACAGACTCCATTCACAGTGTCAGGACAGCCAGCTATGTTTACTTTTCGTTCTTCTTCAAGGTGTTTGTCCGTGACCTCGTCACCTGAGTCACTCGGTTTTGCTGCCCTCGTTCAGCACATGTGGTTGTGAGCTCGTACCCCAGGAATCATTCATGACGAAACGCGTTAAATTTCCTTTTTTTCTTTTTAACATTATGAATTCTGTCAAGCCTTTGTAAGCATCCAAAAGTAGCATTGATCGAAGTCGATTATTCATAATATAGTAATTTGGAGAGCGCTCCATGATAGAAGCAGCTATGTAAGAGCTTGAATATAAGCAACTTCCTCTTTTTTTCAGGGTAAAGGAAATTTGGCCTTACGTATGTGTATATGTCATATGTTATATTCTGTGAAGTTTTTGCGACTTTAAGGAGTATTCAGCTACCGAATCTAAATACCTCAGGTCTAAAATCGTTACAGAAAAGGCAGTCAGTGATCGCCGGCTCAGGTGCTGTCGCTTGTGTCCGCAGCGCCGGTTTCCATGGTGAGGGTGTCCTGTGGAGGCAGGGCCATAGGCTGGAGAGGGACAGAAGGAACCTGGAAGCTCTCTTCCTGTGTCCTGAGGCAGCCTGAGCTGCTTCCGGAGAGTGTAGCTGCTGCCCTCTTTCTCACACTTAACCTTGGGCCCCAGTTAGGCTTTCGAGAGAGACAGAAAACGAAGAGAGTCTCTTCGACCCTCTGAAAGTCCCTTTTGTGCCTTCTCTTATCCTGGCTAACGCGCCCCAGCCCTTTCAGTGGCGCCTCGGACGAAGCAGGCCCGGCGGCTGGTGTGTCAGAGGTCCAGTCTGGGCGGAGAGCAGAGGTGGTTTGGGGGACAGCTTTGCCTTCTCTCACGACTTACCGCAACACCCCCAGCCCACTGGACCTGATGAGTCTAAGCAAAAACAGTGTGGTTGCAATGAAAATAGTTTCAAGAAAGGGCCCCTACTTCCTTTTCCCAATCGGATTACTTCCCTGGAAAAGGGGGTTCGCTGAAAGGCTTTCCAGTTGTAAGAAGCAGAGCCAGGCTAGTGGGAGACAGATGCCTCTGCCGCTGTGGGACTTATCTCTGTCATTCTGTGTCCCTCTGCTCCGTGGCCCAGCTTCTCTGCAAAGCCCATAGTCTGCTTGCCCCAGAGCCCCAGTCAGCCTGTGGCCAGGGCGTCCCCTCAGCATTGTCCCTGGCTCGGAAG